CAACGTTAAAACATGCATAGTTACTACTGGCAACCTATCTGAGGCAGATCCAATTGGATGCGACCTTCAATGGGGAGAAATTTCGCCTCTCAACGGCCCATCTGTTTTGACTGCACCATTGACTCTCTTACGACTGATTTCGAGTCTACGATGCGACCAAGGAAGGGAAAAGATTCGACTTGTAAGTGTTCACATCGGCTCGTCAAGTAGGGCAGGTCAAATTGTTGCATGTTGTAGCCGGTGATTATGTCTGGGTCCACTTCACGTACAAATGCTGTCCACCGCTACAATCAAAAGAAACGCAGCATGAATGTCTCCCACCAAATATCGAGCACGCGGCGGTTGGCACATTTATGAAAAACATAGTTACACAGCAAAGAAAAGCAATCACTTCTTAACGTTGTGCTTATACAAACAAAGTTACGCACTATGGAAAAAGACATTCGCTCAAAAGTCCAGTGAGAAATGATGTTGGCGACCGACATGGATGCCGACAGAAAAAAGATGGCAGAGGCTTTTCAAAAAAGGCCAAAAGACTATAAAGTACACTAGGTTCAAATTTCTTACATGCAGGTGCGGGCCGCATAGTAGGATACTATTTACTGGCCTTAGCCAGTACGAATATTAGGACTAGTACTCCTGTCAATGGCATATTACTTCTAGCAGCAGTATCCTAGTTCTCCTAGTCTAGATTTAAGGAAAAATTACACAGCTTTGGTGAAAAGAGGTAGGGGGGAGGGGGTGCAAACCGCGGCAAGCATTAATGTATTCAGAGCCTCAAACATTTTTTTTTATTCGGAATAGCATAAATCCAGGTCGCTACTCCTAGTTTAGATCGAGGGGACACGAGCCCTGCGAAGACTTTAATCAGCGCCATTTTTGACCAGTTATTAGCGTCAGTAATAGTACTATCACGAATACCACTCAACTACACTGCTAGAAAGCAACAGCACAAATGGCAGTAGCAGTAGTAGTTTTATCAGACTCGGTCTCCTTGAGTCTTTCTGGACACCAGCTGAATGTGAGTGAGTGTAGGTAGTGCAACAGTACCAGCGCAAAAGGGCTACTGTCACCTAAGACTAAGTTGGACGGTGTTTC